TTGAGAGTTAGGGTCGAACCTCCGAGTGGCCGATTTGTGCTCTTGTAGGCGAGTTTGCAATTTCCGCCCGGTTTCGCCCACATAGTTGCAGTCGCCCTCATTGCAATTTATTTTGTAGATGACTGCTGAGGTTTCAGCGGTTGGCAATGGGTCCTTAGGCTGCATTAGGCGACGTCGAATTGTTGCTTGGGGTCGATGGACTATACCTACTCTGGTGGGTTGTAACAGTCACGAGACCGCTTCAGAGACCCCTTTAACGTAAGGAATGGCCCTCCAGACTTCGGGTTGTTGCTGATTTGGCCGTCGTTTGGGCGCCCAACGTCTGCTTCTCTCGATGAAATGCCTGGAATAACCATTGGCTTTAAATAGGTTCACAAGGTACAATCGTTCGACCCTTTTATCTTCTGGCGTGCTGCAGCGTGTTTCGACTCATTGGAATAGAGTACGGACATAACTGCTTTTGTGAGACAGAGGATGGTTGCTGTTGAAGTGTAGGATCTGTCTCGTGTCGGTGGATTTTCGGAATACTGTAGTTTGCAGCTGTCCAGTGGTACACCGGCGCACAAGTACGTCAAGGAAGGGCAGTTGGTTGTTTGTTTCCGCTTCCATCTTAAATTGTATATCCGGGTCAACCGAGTTCATTAGTTCCTTTAGGTGTTCACTGTCAGCTGTTTTGACAACGACGAAGGTGTCATCGACATAGCGGGCCGAGAACTTTGGTTGATATTTCGTGAACACCAAGTGTTCTACCCGTTGAAGAACTTCTTCAGCGATTAGGCCTGATATAGGGGAGTCCATAGGAGTGCATTTTATTTGTTCGTACATTTGTCCGTCTTAGGTGAAATAGGTCTTGAGATAGTTTTGTACTTTTGGAATGGCTCCATAACATCTTTTTTCTTAAATCAAGCTCCCCCGAAAGGCAAGGATGAATTTCTTGAATTTGTATTTACGCCTTCACTTGCTCCTGTAGGACAGGTTACATATGGTCGCGGGAGACAAATCACCTGGATGTGAGAGCGTCATCCTGCCTGGCTAAAGAAAGGCGGGGAAAAGTCTGTCTTGAGCTCAATTAAGGCTCCCTATTTTGGCAGCGGCCACCATTTAGTCATCTATAAATTCCGCCGAGGAATTCCAAGTTCCTGCGTCAGCAAATACACGCGACGACAACGAAAGTGGCCATACGACTAACGAACCCAATCTTGCGCCAGCAGAAGGCGTTGGGTCAAGCATTTAATCTCCTTTGAACGATGATAATTTTTCCAATTCCCTCTTCGAACCTGCTTAACTTGTTGTCAGTCGCCTCACCTTCATCTCCCTCCACCCCTCCACCGTCGCCATGCCTATGAAGGAATTAACTAGAGAGGTGGAAAAGCCTGTTTTTAGCACAACTGGGACTCACTTGGTTGACAAAGGCCATTGGGTAGACATTAGTTGATCATTCAGAGTCATCAGCAACGTGCCGATGAGGCGTTCCAAATTGCTGCACCAGTGAATACCTGCAAGGACTTTGGCAGGGTCATGTGGCTAGCCAACCCATCTTTGTGCTCGAAGAATGTGTTTTTACAAGCCCAAGATCTCCCATGGCCGAAGATGGATTAGATATTTCTTCCGCATCCTGCCGCGTTGCACTAAAACGATACAACTTGAACATCGCTAACGCTCCGACGCCTTTCGTTCTTCCCCCATTCTCCCCTCCACCCTTCTCACACCTTGGACAAAACTAAACTAGACGTACCCCGACATGTCTGATCGCCCTCAACCCTCTCCGCCATGACTACCATTCACAGGCTATCCTAACATTCGCTAATTTGACGCAACTCACTCTTTTACTCCTTGTCCCTGAGGATGAATATTTAAAAAGGTACGTTCGTTGAAATCGACGTCTTCGATACCTACACGTTATAAATATCTTTCACATTTATTAAGTATAGTGAGTGACCGATCTCATGAAATTTTGGCTGAAATTCCGAAATGCGTTTGCGATTCGGAAGGATTACTTAGGTGGGGTTATAATACTGATTACGCCGCTACATAATCCTATAGTATGTCGGACTTGGCAGGATCTCGGATTTTGAGTACACTTCTTTCCAATCTCCTGGAGAAGCCGTACTCGGAAAAGATGACTACTTATGTAGCATGCATTTTCACACTGATTTTTGATGGTCTTTTAAATTCAAATATATTTTACAAAAACACGAAATAATATTTCTTCTTTCCCTTGCTTAACAGAGAACCACGTCGTCTGCATGTTTTATATTTGAAGAAGAGATATAATTAGGCTTTAAAAATTTTTCTATTTCCTATCAATTTGAAGCCTAGTCAGCCGTTATATTAGCGCCTAGTGATTTTACTCTACAAGGTGCATGCGTTTTGCATATGGAAAATCATACACTGGCCTTTGCCTTTAAAAAGATACCGTATTGAGTCTACAAAATTTTACATCGGATGCGGACTATGTTGCAAATGTTTTATGGGGAGCTGTGGTAAACGCACAGGTACGATGCTGTATGAATCGACATTACACGGTTTTAAAGAACCTCATAATTAGAAACTCTATTTAAACCAAATTCTACTCCTGCTTCGAGTATAAAATGTGAAGAAGTCATTAATCTCTACTAAACACGGGAAACAAAAATATTTTTGTTCATGCTTTTTATAAAATATATTCGAATTTATTAGACCATCGAAAATAAGTGTAAAAAGTGCATGCTACCTTAGTAGCCATTTTTACCGAGTACGGTTTCTACAGGAGATTTAAAAGAAATGTATTCAACAGCCGAGATTATACCGAGTCCGACATACTTTAGGATTATTCCGCGACATAATCAGTATTACAACCCTACTAAATTAATCCTTCCTAATGGACAACGCATTTCCAAATTGCAGCCAACATTTCATTAAATTGGTCACTCACTGCATGCAGAGTATAAGTTACAAATGGCGGGACTTACCGTCATTTGGCCCTACTGGGGCATTTCGGAATTTTTCATCATTAGCAGGTTTAGTTGCAGAACTTGTAAATGTAGACAACTTGGACAGAACCAGGGGGGCATTACCAGATCCGGACGCAATAATACCAGATAGCGGTGGAGGGAGGGGGGGGGGGCTGGAGGGCGTAGCCCCTACCTCGGAGGTCCCCACGCATACTGAACAAAAGAATGTGTCATTCATGTTAACTGCAAGACAATTCCCGACTAACACGTCGTTCATCGTGCCATCCACCTGCGCCCTCCCTTGCTTCGGTCTTCTTGTCGATGTCTTGACACTGAGCTCAGTCGGGGGAAGAGAGAGTGCGGTAGACGTTGTGCAAGTCTGTCACAACTATTGTCCAATTCACGTACATGTCGCGTTACCTACTGTCACCTCGATGCAGAGCACACGGCGGACATCGTCGGCAAAAACGGTCTAAGTGTCATCTTATGATCCTTGTCTCACTTTTTCCAAGTCACGCAGGGAGGTATCTTCGTATTCTTTTAGAAATTTATCAAACCATGCGACCAATATGACCTGCTCCACTGACGCAAGTAAAGGAGTAAATGCACATTGAGGTGGTCTGAGATAGCAACCTTTCCGCGCCTTCTCTGCCTAAAACAGGTTAAGTAGAGATATTATTCAAACCCCTTCAGCTGGGAAAGTTCGTGAGACAGCTTAATCAAGACGTCTTCTTAGGAGTTCACACGCAGCGTCCCCCCTAAAAGATACTTTGTGGGTGAGAGTTTCCAGAAGGCTACTTGACGAGCATACAGTACGTGGCCTATCTCATGAACCCTAGTGACAGAATCTGATGTGAGAATTTAGGACGTCTTAAACGTTGCGCATTTTGCTTGCCCGCTCAGCCTCTTCTAGGAAATGTCCTCACCTTGCGCACAAATTGTGTCCTTTTAATTTTTTCAAGCAAAGCGTTCATGAAATTGGTCGAAAATGGACGTCGCGGCTCACTCGGGCAATTTCCTACGTTAATACCTTTTCTGGACCTTGGTCGCCTATCTAAGCGGTTTTTTTTCTTGGAAGTAGGATAATTTAGTCCAGAAGGTTTTAGTAAACAGAGGTTAACGACTTGAAAATTAGTTTTTTGTCCGATGGTTACCGTGGTAATCAGCTTTCAAAAACAAAGGTTGTTTTTGGAGAATCAGATGTTTTTGTCGATTTGTAGCATTCAGATTAGCAGATCTGTACGATTTTGTGCCCTAAAGTGTGATAATAATGCACACAGGCAATCCTTCATTTTTATGGGCTACAACTGTTTTGCCGTTTGCAAAATCCTACGTGACCGACCAGGCCGATGTGTAAGGTGAAGGTGCGGTCGCAGTGAGGGCAGGTGTAGTCCTGATCCTCATCGCTGGAGTCAGAGGAAGTTGGGGTGGTTTCGATTGTTGTTTCGGGGTTGGTGATGTGCGAGACGGCCACCTGAGCGGCCGTCGTTGGGACAGTGGTTGGGGGAGGAGGAGGAGGATGGAAGTGGTGGTTCAGAAGAATTGCCAGAGGTAGCTGGCGGCAGAGAGGTCGAGGAAGAGGCGGGCGGAGGGACGGCTGTTGATGCGGTCCGAGAGGAACACTTGATCCGAAGATGTCCGACAAGTCCGATTCGAACCCGGATTGTCCGTTGACATCGAGGACGCGTTGGTGGCGGTTGTGCGTCGTCGTTGCGGACTGGGCTAAATTGTGATTTGTGGGCTTCGCGTTTCGCTTTGGCGGCGGCGATGCGGTTGGCTTCGTAGATTGCAGCGCCCGTCTTCACTGTTCTCCTCCATGTTGTACGATCGCGGGCGAGCTCTTCCCAGTTGGTTGGAATGATTTGCAGACGCTTCAGGGCGGACTACAGGGTATCCTTGTAACGGCGAATCTGGCCTTCTTGACGAAGAGAACCCGTCGCGACGTCTCCGTAGAAGAGTCGTTTGGGTAGTCGCTCGTCGTCCATGCGCACGAGGTGGCCGCTTTAGCGCAGCTGCATTTGTCTCAGCATGGTGTAGATGCTGAGGATTCCTGTCCGTTCCAACACATCAGTGTCGGGGATGCGGTCCTGCCAATTCAGCCTCAGGATGCGACGGAGACAACTGAGGTGGAAGTGGTTCAGTCGGCTTGTCTGCCTCGTGTACACTGTCCAAGTCTCCGCTCCGTTCATGAGCGTCGGTTGGAGACGGCCTGTACATCTTTAGCTTCGGGCTCAGTTGGAGACCATGACGATTCCAAGCTGTGCTTTGGAGGCGACCAAAGGCTTGACTGGCTTTCGAGATCCTGTTGGCGACTTCGTCGTCGATCTTGGTGTTGCGGGAGAGGGTACTGCCCAGGTACGGGAAGTTCTCCACCACTTGCAGTTGGGTCCCATTCACGCTGATTTGCGGCGGCGCGTTGCGGGGTGTGTCTGAGTTGGGTGGCGGTTGATGCATGACCACCGTCTTCTGCGTGTTAATGACCAGACCGAAGTTCTCGTAGGCGGAGGATAACAGGTCCATGCTCTGTTGCATCTCGTCTTCCGAGGTGGTGTTCAGGGCGTAGTCGTCGGTGACTCCGATCTTCTTAATTCTATCTTGATCTTGGGTCCACGTGGGAGAGGAAGGATGCATTAGATGCAGCGCAAGTCTGCGTTCGCTATAAACTAAATCACGCACAAGTCATTGTGCCTGCTTTACCTTGTTATGGAGCACACGTTGAACATCGTCGGCAACGAGGTTCAACCTATCATGGTGACAGTCTAGTAGACCGCTATTGGTGTTATCCACTGCGGAGCATAACAACAGATGTTTTTCGTAAGTAACTCGAGAAAATAAACGTTAACTTGGGGGAAATGAGACCTGTACTGATGGATCAGCGTGGTACAATTCTGCTCTAGGACAACGTACGCTCATACGTTGCCAGGATGACACTGCAGAGACTGAGTGACTTGGTACGAGACTTTACGACATCCTCCCTTTACCTGCGATCTTTCATCCGCTGAATACCATTTTTTTAAGTTTTTGGACATTTTTAGCCGTGTAACTTTCAGAAAAGAAATTGAGGTGGAGGCTGGATTCACGCAGATTGTATCACCAGAGTCAGCAGATTTTCATCGATGAGACGCAAATAATTTCTCGATGGCTGGAAAAGATCCGCACATGTTCACTAATCATATTTTGACTTATTTCAACATACGTTGATTGAAATTTTCAAGACAAAAAGTGCGTTTCTTAAATCGACCAGTACCGTCCGAGGGTCTAATATTATTCTAATTAAAAGCAAAAACACTGGAGATGCCTGAAACAAACAAAAATATGGGATAATAAACGACACCACATCTAAGGGCGCAATGCTACCGCTTTTTTTAACAGGTCAGCCTGATGCAGACACGGATTCCACAGAATCCACCACGTCTGATACATGCGCTGTCAGGATAAAGTAAATAAATCACACTCGCCTCCCTCAAGGCACTTGGGAGTACACATGCCTCCTTCCGCAAGAAAACACGTTCGTCCGCCCGCCTGACTGACTTCAGCACATGTAAATATAAAAGCCGCGCTACCGGCTGCGGCCTTATTGGAATTTAGGCTACCGCGGTCAATTTAAAAAGACCATACTGCGGTTGAGGGAACAAATCAAATACCATTTGTATTTATGTCTACGGCTTTCTATTCTGCATCGCGAAACCCGGTCTCTGCGGCTTGACCTTTCCATCAGCTACATGCAAAAACATCCTAGCAACTTTTTGTATTGGGTGCCGAGGTTTAGTAAAGCACAGAACATACCGCACACTCTCCTATCTCTGGGGAGCAAGATTGCCAGGCAGGGAATGCGCCAATTCTTTTTATTGGATCATGGAGATAAAATGTTTTGAAAACATTAAGAAGGGTACTGGAATGCCCGTGAATTCTATCAGCGAATTGTTATTGAGATGTATCCTGAAGGCGTACTTCCCGTTTGACAACAATCTGTATAAACAGATAGAGGGAGTACTTGTGGACTCGTATCGTCATCGGTTTTTGACGAATATAGTTATAGGCAAACTAGGAACTACACAGCTTCTTCGCCTATGGCATAACGAACAGTTCGGCCGTCGCTGCCGACGATGTTTACTGCGTGCTCCATAGCAGGGTGAAGCGGGCATGGGCGATTTAGCTTATGTTGGGAGTAGACTTGCGTGGCATCTACCGCACTCCCTCCTCGCTCATCTGGGCCAGATGTCAAGAAGAGCGGAAGTGAGAGAAAGTGGAGGTGACTGGCGCGACAGGACCCGCACCTAGGCGTGCCACCACACTTTCTGGTCCACAGGAAAACATTTGCACGGGATTTTAATAAACAACAACAACAGGACAAATGATCAGGAAGACAACGAGAATGTCCAGAAGGAACGCCCGTGTATCTACCGGCAGGATACCACGTTCCACAAAGCAGCCAGAGCGTATCAGGCCGCGAGGGTTTGCTGATGCTGGCATAGCAGACGTCAACATAAATCACGCGCACTCATCAATTGACGAACTACGATTGAAGAAATATCACGTTCGCTCCCCGTTTTCGACGTCGATCTCAGTAAAAGGCTTGACGACAATATCCGACGTAACGTTTATCATAAGAAGACGTGATCTGGCCAACAAGCGAGTTTTGGGAGTTTCGAACCGCTAGTCTTAAAGCGAAATTTAGTCTTCTGTTCGGCTGATAGCACTGAGAGAGAGAGAGAGTTTAAAAGTGTCGAAAGACTTATTTGGCAGAATAGGTACCCTGATCGGTTTATTACCAATGACGCCCGAAAGGCCATCAAAGCTTCAGATTTTGATAGGAGGGAAGAGGAGGCTTTTCGTCAGGATCACATTTAAAGGGAATGCGCCGACTAGATCATTAAACTACAGTGCGTGACCGATCTCATGAAATGTTAGCCAAAATTCTTGAATGCGTTTCCGGCTAGGAAGGGTTACTTAAGTAGGGTCTTTATACTGATTATCATGCAGCAAAACCCTATAACATTTCGGACTCTTCAGGGTGTCGGATTTTGAATGCACTTATTTTTGACCTCCTGCAGAAACTGCATTCGGCAAAAATGGCTACTTAAGTAGCATGCATTTTCCTATTAATTTTCGAAGGTCTTATAAATTCAAATATATTTTACAGAAAACATGCACAAATATATGCTTTGTTTTGCTCATTTGGAAGGAGATTACATTGTCTTTATATTTTATGTCCGAAGAAAGTGTGTATTTAGGTTTTAAAAAGGTTTCTAATTATGAGATTTTTAATATCGTGCAATGTCCATGCGTGCAAGACCGCACATGTACGTCCATTAATGCTCTTTATGAAAGGTACAACACAGTCCGGATCCATTGCAAAATTTCATGAACTCTATGTGGTATCCTCTTAAAGGCATAGAGGAATATATGATTTTCCTTGGGCGGAAAGCATGCACCTTGTAGACTGAAATTGCTTAATGCTGATGCTATGGCAGATCGGGCTAAAAATTATTCGGGCATGGGGCAACTTTTTAAAAACCTAAATACACACTTTCTTCGGACATAAAATATAATGACAATGTACTTTCCTTCCAAATGAGCAAAACAAAGCATATATTTGTGCATGTTTTCTGTAAAATATATTTGAATTTAGAAGACCTTCTAAAATTAACAGGATAAATGCATGCTACGTAGGAAGTAATTTTTTATCGAGTGCCGTTTCTGCAGGAGGTCAAAAATAAGTGCATTCAAAAGCCGATATCCTGGCGGATCCGAAATGTTATAGAGTTATGCTGCATGACAATCAGTATAACAACCCCACTTAAGTCTTCCTTTCTAATCGGAAACGCATTCCAGAATTTTGGCTAACATTTTATGAGATCGGTCACGCACTGTATATCACGGACCTTTTCAGCAGTTGAGCCCCGTGTACTATTCTCCACTAGTCTCATCCTTTACGGAGAGGGCAAGGACAAACTGCCAGCCCAGACCACTTCTGTGTGTATTTGCTGCTTCGTCTGCTTCTGTGAAGCAGAATGTATTGGTTAAGGGGGTCGCCGTTTGCTCGAAAGAAGAACATTTTTCAACCTGATTAGGATAGGATCAAGTAGAGAATGCTAACAGCTCTATTCTCGCGCACATGAGAGAAAAATATCCCCGTGTAGACGCCAGAGGGTGATTTCGAGTGATTTACAAGGTACTGTTAAGTCATCGAGAACTGCTTGGCTGCGGTAGAGGCAGCTGCAGTCAGGTCATGCATATCAGTCCCACGCGCATAGAAGAACTTTATACCGGTTCCGCAATTACGTGGTTGAAAGTCATTAGGCCACACACCCCAACTTAACTACCTTTCCCAGTGCCCAATATCCCTTATGTTGCTGACTGTAATTCTATTTTTGACTCCTCCCTCCAAACCCAGCTGTAGCATCATTGTCTACTTTGCTGATAGAAGCGAACAGGCGGGTTCCAAGTAGCAGTTCAGAAAATGAAGGTGCGATCACTGGAACAAGAAGTTTATTTGCCTGACGTTTCGGATTCTCACTCGAATCCATCATCAGAGACATTCCTTTATCAGCGAATGTCTCTGATGATGGATTCGAGTGAGAATTCGAAACTTCAGACAAATAAATTTCTTGTTCCAGTGATCGCACCTTCATCTTCTGAATTGTCTACTTTCCCTGAAATGTTTATTATCTATTTCAATAGCAACACAAATGCACGATCCTGAAGACAATTCGTCAAAAGTAAACGTGTGCTAACCAAATTACCTTTGCATTTTTTTATGTGGACCGAAAGGGAAACAGGCATAAGCGCTGTAATTCGCAACTCTTGGTTTTGTTTTATTAAAAAGAGCTAGAGCACTGCAACAAAGTTGAATAGCTTATTTTAAAATAAGTTTATTCCATACTAACAGCACAAATAGTCAGTTTGTTATTACCTACAAAGACAACAGAGACTAGTCAGTCAGTCATACCCAACACCGAAGTGTGGAACACCCGAGGCTCGAACTCACGACCTGTTAGGTAGAAGTCCACGTCTCTAACTACTAGGCTACGAGCCCGTTGCCCTGTCAACTTCGGTCGGGAATACGCAATGGTAGGGGGGGGGGGGGGCTCAGCGATCGTTCTTACAGAATTTACTCGTTCGTTGTGCTTTACGGCCTCTCTATCGAACCCAACCAGCAGCCGCTCAGCGGCGCATGATACAGCAGTATGTTATTACCGACAAAGACAAGGGAGACTGATTAGCCAGTCATACCCAACCCTGAAATATAGAAGATCCGAGGCTCGAACTCGCGACCTGTTAGTTAGAAGTCTCCCTTGTCTTTGTCGTTAATGAAATATTGTCTATATCATGCGCTACTGTTGGGCAGCTGGTTGGGCTCGAGAGAGAGCCCGTAAGGCACAACAGAACGAGTGAGTTCCGTAAGACCGATCGGCGACCCCCCCTCCTAGCCCAGATAGTAGCAAAAAGCCATACACACGTGTTTCGCCGATATTCTGCCGCTGCATGACACAGCTGCGAGAGGTTCGACTTGTCAGTGGGTCTCCCACTATTGCCTGTCTGTTTTCTGGAGGATACTCCAATTTGTAAATTGTTGCGTTTTAATTTTCTCAGAAATTAACTGAAAACTTGGAGTAGAGTAGAATATA